GACTGCAGTATGCTTACCAAAGACAAGTGACAACTAAAAGCTAAGTGACACCAGCTTGCCCACGTGCCCATGCGACCACCGCAGGATGGGTGTATGTGATCACACCCAGCACAGGACAAAGAAGCCAGATCCATAAGTGTGAACTGTCAGCCCCCAACCTGCCAGCATGGTGGCCAACCCACCAGCAAGATTCTCCTTGTACCTTGTCCGTCCCTGGAGTGTTCTTCCTCGTCTCCCTCTGCTGACATGGATCCGGATACACTCTTCTCCTTCCAGAGAGTCCTGGGACTCTCAGCCAGGGCCCAGGGTCCTCTGATCCCAAATGCCCGCTTCTCCGGCTCCCACGGGCTGCCCTTCCTCCAGATGTCTGCCTTAAACTGCTCGAAATAACTCCAGCATCCTGATAAAGATCAGCCCCGCTAAGGAAAAACAAAGCAGAAGTCCTCATACACAACAGGCTCTCAAATTAAACAGATCGGATAGGCTGGAAGGCCAGGTCTTTTCCCAAAAGCAGTGCTCCATGACTTGCTGGGTCTCAGACAGACCTGCTGGGGTCTCTGTGACAGCTGGAGGGAGATGGCCTGCACCCTTTCCCAAGAGCCACCTTTCCCCCAAACCCCAAGCTCCGTGATGTCACCTTGGTAGTTTGAAATTCTCTGTGGTGGGAGTACTTACACCATGGAAATTGGCACAAGGCAACTGTTCTATTTTTTTTTTTTTTTTGAGGGGGGGATAAGGACAGAGGGAGAGGGAGAGAGAGAATCTCAAGTAGACTCCCCACCCAGTGGCGAGACCAACATGGGGCTCGATCACACAACCCTGAGATCATGACCTGAGCCAAAATCAAAGAGTCAGCTGCTTAACCTGCTGAGCCACCCAGGTGCCCCAGAATGATGTTATTAACCAGACCACCGTTGGCACAGATCTTCTTGAGAACGTGAGAAAAGCTAGGAGGGCTCTCCCGAGAGTGTTGATACACAGTGCCACACTGTTTCCCAAATAACTCATGGCCCTCAGGAACCCTACAATGGAACTCTCAGATTAGTTTTCGGGTGTCTCTCACAGGTAAAGAGGAAAAAGGAATGAGTGTATGAGCCAGAAACTGAGCAAGAGATTTGAAATATTTTATTGCTACCCCTCACTCGCGGTTTGGAAGCATGATTGTGCCACCACATTACGGATGAGAACACTGAGGCCCGGAAAGATGATGCATCTTGTCCAAGCCTTCATAGATATTAGGTGATCGAGCTAGGGTTTGCAGTCTGTGTTCACCACACCACGAGGCCGCTGTGGTAGACAGAAGAGTGGTCCCGCTGTATGCTGGTGTCCTAGTCCCCAGCACCTGTGACTGGTACCTTACGTGGCACAGGGACTTGGCACATGCGGTTAAGGCTCTCGAGACGGGGGATTATTCAGGATCATCCGGGTGGGCCCAATGGAAGGACACGAGTCCTTCAAAGCGCCAGAGGGAGGGAGAGGAGTATGTCGGAGACGGCATGCTTGTTTGAGGGCAGAGGAAGGGAGCCATCAACGGTGGCTTCCAGGAGCTGGGAGTGGCCCTCCGCTCACAGCCAGGGAGGAAGCAGGAACCTGGGTCCTCCCTCAAGGAACCGAATTCTGTCACAGCCAGTGCAGAGGAGGCAGCTTCTCCCTCAGAGCCTCCAGAAGGAACAACGCCTGCTGACGCCTCGATTTTAGCCCAGGGACACCCGGGCTGGGCCTTCGAACTCCGGAAACTGTGAGATAGGACCTGTGTGTTGATCTGAGCCATTTTGTGGTCATTTCTTAGGGCAGCGGTGGAAAACTCATCCGGCCACTTTCCCTGAAGGGCCTCTGAGAAGCAGCCGCTTCCGTCCTCCGCACCGCAGGGTGAGGAGCAAGGCCTGGTGGCGCAGCGGAGGGCACAGGGCATCCCCTTTTGAGGCCAGGCTGTCCTGGTTGCTCTGTAGCTCACACCGAGCGGGCAGCCCCCAACCGTGTATGGTGAGGCCAGGGGCTCCGCCGGCCTTGGGATCACAGACCCCACGGGAGTCTGGTGTCGCTTCCCAGTGTGGGGCCTTGGCAAGAAAATGGCCTCTCGGAGCCTACTTTCCTCCAGTATAAACACTCTACAAATTACTCCAAGAACGTCTACTCTCAGGGGCCTGGGGATAACTGGGGTGAAGGGGCCTTGTCAGCTACGCAGAGCGGATAATGAGGGCTGATTTCTATTGCCCTTATGACTTCCATCTTCCTGTTCTTTGTTTTTTTGTTTTTTGTTTTTTTTTTTGCTCAGTGTTCCTTCTCCCTCTGAGTCTTACAACATCATTGAGAAGCCGGGTCATTGGTACTTTTTTACCTATCCTCAGCCCCTGCCCACAGGTAGATGGAGAGCAGGATTAGGGGTCTGGGGGACTCAGCTCCGGATCCTGGCTCTCCCTTGTCGGAGGCATGTGGCAGCCTCTTTTCAAGCCTCATCACCTGGGAAATACACGGGTGATGCCATTTCTGTCCTCGGCGGGTCCCGAGTGGTGGTGGTCCAAGGCTACGCGGGTACCTGGCACAGCGTGGCTGCTCAGGAAATGGCAAGTGGAAACAGGGACTGAGTGGAGCTGGCTCCCAACAGGCCACGTTGCCCAGCGCAGGCTCTGGACTCTTGTCGGCGCTTGACCACGGGTACTTCTGGCACCAGACAAGGGACTCAGCTCCTTGGGGGCCAGGAGGTATAAATGTTGATGTCACTGCTACTTCTCGCTCCCCTTTGTGAGTTTAAACCTTCCCTACAAGGGGGCAGGGCGCCTGACACAGGTTGCAAAGGGACGCCATGGTCTGTGATGGAAATTCCCCTCCTAACCTCATGCCATCAGTCCTGTTTGTCTCCCGCCATCTCCCGTCCCTTCTACACCTTCCAGCGTGGAGCCGTGATCATAATACTAGCCGGCGCTTGGAAAAGCACTTATCACTGGCTTGCACATGCCATGGCTGGTTCAACCTGGCGTTTCATGATGTGACCTAGGTCAAGTGACTCACCCAGGGTTACACCAGCAGTAAGTGACCGAGCTGACTCAGCTGAGTGACTCAGTTCCAGGTCGTTCCCTCTATGCCTTGTCGACAGTCGTATATGCACCTACCCATCATGCTTATGATCCCGGGAGGAATTCCGGCCCCTGCGCCCCTCAGGAGTCCAGCAAGCCCGAGCCCTTTCCCAGCACATGCATGCAGTGGGTGTCTCTACCTGTCATACTCACACTGACAACAACCCCTGGAGAGCCCACGGCCTGAGATGCTGCTGTTAGCCTGAAGACAGCTGCTTACACAGCAAGTAGAAGGATGGATGAGAAAGAACACGCCCCTTACCTTTTGAGTACCTGCTACATTGACCATCTTATTCTGATCTTCACGACGACCCTACGAAGCCAGTATTTAATTGTGTAACTACTCCAGAGATGATGAAGCAGGGAATCAGGGAGGCCACACAGATTGCCAGAGGTCACCAGCCTGGAAGTGGGGGTGGGGGCCCCCGGGCTGGGTGCCTTCTGTTAGATCCCGCTGCTAGCCACGCTCCTGATCCCTCTCCGCTGTTCAACTCACTGCATGTCTCTGGGTAAGTCAGGAAACCTCTCTGGACTTTGTTTTCCTCATCTGTAGAATTAGAGTTGGCTCTTGCAATAAGTTGGGGCCAACTACAAGGTTGGAGAGGGCCGTCTCCACACAAGACCATGCTCGCTGCTAGTAGCAAGTGCTAATTCAGGGGCTTCCCCAAACCACCCTCAGGCTTGATGATTCTCTAGAAAGACTCACAGACCTCACTGAAAGCTTCTGTCTCGTGGTGAAAGTGATACAGGGAAGGGATGTGGATTCAGACCAGACAGAGGAAGAGTGGCACAGTGTAGAGTCCAGGAGAGTTCCAAGCGCAGAGCCCCCCGGTCCCCGCCGTGTGGAGTCAGGGGGCTGCTCTGTTGGCACTGATGTGTGACAGCGGACATGGGGTAGCCCCAGCCAGGGAGCCCCAGCCAGGGAGCCCCAGCCAATCACCCAAATTTGGCCGTCAGGGGCTTTATTAGAGTCCTGTTGCATAGGCATGATGGATGACTGATTGCCCATGGTTAATCTCAGTCTCCAGGTCCACTGATACCGTGTGACCCTAAGTCACATGGTCTTTTGGCATGACCAGCCCCCACCCTAAGGCTGTTGAGTGCGAACACATTGATGGAAAATCCAATGTGGTGAGCCTCTGCCCTAAACAAAGGTATGACCACCGGGCGCAAAGGCCAGACTTCTCTCTGGGAAAAGTCGAATTCTTTACTACACAGCTGTGAAGTCCCTTCCAGCTTTTCCACTGTGACAGTCCCAGCATTCACCCCGATGGCCCCAGGTACCCCTGGGCTGGTCTCCCCAGTACTAGCTCCAGCCTGGTCCACTCCAACCACTGGTCTGGCCTCTGCACCCTTATTCCTTCCTGCCTGCTTACTACTACCCCTAGTCCGGTGCCCGGCACATCGTTGCTGGTCAGTGTATTATTATTATATTAACTGACCAGCAACGATGTGCCGGGCACCGGACTAGGGGTGGCTAAGTGGATGAATGTCATCCTTGAACAGGTGTGAGAGCTTAAGTCATATGAACAAGGGCTAACACAGAGGAGGGCTTGAAATACAGGCTCTTTTGAACAGAAAGATGTTCTATAGACACAGTAAGTATCCTGGTTAGAATGCGGTCGAAAGAGCATTCTCTTGGAAAGTTACTTACAGGCATTGTTTCTGGAGAGGTAAGTGCTCGGCATTGGGTACATTTCAACCAATAGATGTGTCGTGGATCTGCTCCAAGGGGTGGGGGGGCATTGAATGAAAGGCCAAACCAAATCTCAACTAAACAAACTAAGCACTAAACCAGAATCCTAAACATAAAGAAAGAAAAGTCCCCATTTGGGGAGGAATATTGGTTTTGGGCTCCTTTGACTTTTCCAGAAGTTTATTATTCCTTTAACTTTTGCTTCTTCTTATTTCCGCGTGTCTTCTCAGCCTGGATTTGCTGGCAGATGTTCAGTATGCCTTTGGGCTTCCCTTCTACCCTGCCTGCAACGGTCAGTTTACTCTGGAGGAGAAAGGCCTGTCACTGAAAATCATGCAGTTCTTTTCGAACTTCATCCGATCCGGGTGAGTGGACCACGTGGGCCCACTGCTGCCCTCACGCCTGCCTCCCTCCCTATCCCCCCTAGATGTCGCGGTCCCCTGCTACTGGTCTCCCTGTCTCAGTCCCCCTCTTCTAGCCCAAACTACCTCTGTGTAGATTCATCTTGGTGAAGGGAAGCTCCCACCACACACTCCCTTACTGAGCCACATTCGATGGCTCTAGATCAGGGTTTCTGAACCTCAGCACCGCTGACGTGGGGGCAGGTAAGTCTTTGTGGTGAGGGCATCCTGTGCAGCCCCAGCTGTTTAGCAGCTTCTCTGGTCTCCACCCACTAGATGCCAGTAGCGTCTCACCCCAGGTGTGAGAACAAACTGTCTCAGAGGGTACCAGATGCCCCCTGGGAGGCACAATCACCTCAAGCTGAGAACCACGGTCCTAGATGATCAAATTCAGTTAACATATTCCAGCCCCTTCCTTATCTACCCCCGCATCCCTGCATACCTCTATTCTAGCCCAGGTGGCGGAGTCTCTGTCCCCACTTCCAAGCTTGGTTCCCCTTTTACCTCCTGGCCAGACATTCGCTGGTCACCTAGCATGATACTCAGGCCCCTGGAAAGGTAGAAGGTAAAAAAAAAAAAAAAAAAAGTCACGTGGAATTTAAGAAACAAGGCAGAGGATCATAGGGGAAGAGAGAAAAAAAAAATGAAACAAGATGAAACCAGTGAAGGAGACAAACCATAAGAGACTCTTAATCTTAGGAAACAAACTGGGGGTTGCTGGAGGGGAGGAGGGTGGGGGGAATGGGATAACTGGGTGATGGACGTTGGGGTATGTGTTGTAATGAGCACTGGGTATTCTATAAGACTGATGAATCACAGACCTGTACCCCTGAAACAAATAATACATTGTATGTTAATTAATTGGCTTTAAATTTAAAAAAATTAAAAAATAAAATAAAATGAGGGGAAAAAAGTCATGTTTCATCCATAACTTACTGACAGAAACACAAAACCCAACCATAATTAACCCAACCATAATTAAAAGCAGGGCAAAGTAGAATTTTATCTAGTTCGTTATAGGAGTTGAGCAGAAAGACATTTCTTTTAATTCAGATTTAGAAAAGGTTTCTCTGAGGAAGTGACATGGAAGCTGGGTCTTGAAGGACAACAGGCTATTCAGACACAAGGTGCCGACCAGTCGAAGGCGCCCAGGAGAGGAGCGTACCAGCAAAGGCACCCTCGGGTGGAAGGGACGAGAAACACACCGTGTTTGGCCAATTATCAGGAGGTCGAGGGGGCTGGGCGGTGGGCCTGGTGGCAGGTGTGGAGAGGTGGCTGAGTGTGACAAGGCCTGACCTCCCCTTCATAAGGAAGATGGCTTACGGGGAGCAGACAAGTTGGCCTGGCTTGGGGCCCACCCTTCTGCCCAGGCCTTGGACAAATGGATCCACTCCAGGGACTGGCTGCGGTGTCCAGAGAGAAGGACACCAGGATAGAAGGGGGCATGGCGACCTCGTGAGCATTCCAGACACGGGCCTTTCCACCTTCCATCATTTGTCATGTGGCAGATCAGGGCACAGCCATGGAAATCGGATCGGGCAGGTCCAAACCCTGCTTTGACACCTGAAGATTTGGGACTTGGTCCTCGGACACCAAGTGCAAGTGAAAAGGGATCCCGAGCGATAAAAGGAAAACCATTTTCCCTCACGGATGTTTCTTTCCTGTCATTTTCCCAGGAATCCCAACTACCCGCATGAGTTCTCTAGGAAAGCCCCTGAGTTTGCGGCCCCCTGGCCTGACTTCATCCCACGGGCCGGTGGGGAGAACTACAAGGAGCTCAGCGTCCTGCTCCCCAACGGGCAGGGCCTCAAAAGCGCTGACTGCTCCTTCTGGTCCAAGTACATCCCGTCTCTGAAGGCCGAGGCGGCAGGTGGGGAAGCGGGAGCGGGCGGGGGCTGGGCAGAGGGCAGGCGAGTGGTTCCTCCCCAGCATCTGCCGAGCTCCCTTTGCGGCAGACCTGGGTTAAGCGCATGGAGACACTGAGTCATGGAGTGCCGTCTACACGGCCCTTCTCCATGAGGAGCTCCCAGTCTGGGGGGCCTCCTGTTCTGATGGGGGACGTCAGAGAGAGAGGCACAGGGCCAGGACACCAGGGGTCCAGGGGTGGGATTTCTAACCAGGGGAGAAGTGGAAATTATCACTTCTTACCCCTGAAGAGCACTTCCAGCTGAGCAGGCATTAAGGAGAGAAACCGAATCATAATGAGGGCACTGGGAATACAGAATTAATGCAATGCCCTTAAGAAGCTTCCAAGAGAGGGGGGGAGTGAGAAACATAACCCAGCGATTGGCCCTCAGCTGTCCCCGCCCCGCGATGGAAGTCTGTGCCCAGGCCAGTGGGAGCCCAGTGGAGGGAGGATCTGAGAAGGCCTCCCGGGGAGGTGGATGGTGGATGGTGGGGCTGAAGGTTTTCAGAATGACATGATTTCTTCATGCAGCAAGAGATAGGGGTGCAACATGCAGCAGGAATGTGATCTTGCCCACCATGTTTTAGACCCACAAAGCTGCATTTAGCCACCAAGGCCACGGGGCTCTCTGTTGAACCCGAGTCCTGTTGTACCCTTAGCATGACCCAAGAGCCTGGTGATGAATCTGGTGCCCGCCCCCTGGAAATGCCCCTCTGTTGAGCATTCGTAGGGAAGGCGCATCAGAGGCTGGGGTCTCTTAGGGCCAAGGCGGAAGAGACAAGGGAGGAGTCCTGATCTGAATAGACCAGCCTTGCCCCTTCTATTTCAGATGAAGCCAAGCACGGGCTGTCAGCAGAGAGTGAAGAGGACGATGGGCCAGTTAACTCTGGGCTGGTCGGAGAGCCAGGCTCCAAGAGCTACAGCAAGTGACCATCTCTTAAGACCCTCCTGCCCAGCCTGGCAACCCCACCTCAGGCTGCCACCAAGGGGATCTTATTCTCTAAAATAGCCACTAACTTTCAATAAAATGTCTACATGCAGTGAAGCACTGGTGACTCAGATTTGTTAATTCAAGGCTGTCCTGGGGAGACACAAAACGATGTCTTAATGATCTTCCTGAGTCTTGAAGCCCAGGCTGCTCTTTCCTTCCAACCAAAATTTGTGGAGCATTCTGTGTACTCCAGGCCTAGTGCTGATGGCCAGGGAGGCAAAGACCCTGCCTTTTAGACAGAGAAAAAGGCAGGTGAACAGGTGTGAACATTAACACAAGAAATGGGGATGCATCGAGGGCGGGCCCCAGAATGACACAGCCCCACCTGTGTGTTCAAAAGGATTCTCTTGTGAAGGTTCCAGAATGGAGGTAGGAGACCAACGGCTGGTGCAATATTCTAAGCAAGAGACAATGAGGTCTGGGGGCGCCTGGGTGGCTCAGTCGGTTAAGCGACTGCCTTCAGCTCAGGTCATGATCCCAGGGTCCTGGGATCGAGCCCCGCATCGGGCTCCCTGCTCGGCGGGAGGCCTGCTTCTCCCTCTGCCCCTCACCCTGCTTGTGTTCCCTCTCTCGCTGTGTCTGTCAAATAAATAAATAAAATCTAAAAAAAAAAAAAAAAAAAAGAGACAATGAGGTCTGAATCCAGGTAGCGAGGGTAGAGGTGGGGGAAGGCAGAGATCTGAGAACTCTTTAGGAAGCAAAATTGATAGGATTTGATTGAATGTGAGAGGGGTTTGGGGCAAGGAGATAGAATTATTACCTCAATTAGGGTTGCTTTGGGTTCCCAGAGCAGCAACAGGTTTGATTATTTACCCCCCTAAGAGACATACCTATGAAGGTGAATCTATTTAAAACTCTCTCTCCATCTCATACATGCACAGAGAAAGAGAGAGAGAGAGAGAGAAAGAGAATTAACCCAAAGTCAAAGCAGATGGAGTCAGTTAACAGTCTCTGTCATTTATAAGGATGTCAGAAGATGTGTGGACACACATCACCTCATTTGAGCATACACCAAACTCAGTAATGGTTCATATGTTGGGGCCATCACCCCTATTTTGCAGATGTGGAAGGTGAGTCTCAGAAAGGCTTGTGGTGTGCCTAAATTCATACAGGGACAGGGAGGAGATGGAGAATCAGAGTTAACTCAGGTCCTCTGATTTCTCTATTTTCTTGCACTTCCTAGACTTCGGATGAGTCTACAGCCACATTGTGTGTCGTGCAGAACCTACTGAAAGCATCGAAGACGTCAGATAACCTCTCACCTGCTTAGACAATCAATCAGGATAGTTCAGTGCAAGTACCAAACACCCAACTAAAGTGCTTTAACCGAAGGATACTCCAGGAGGAGGATGGTCCTAGGATTGGTCAAGGTCCTAGACTCTTCCCGGCCCTCCTCTTTGTTGTCTTCAGCACATGATGATGCCTCATTTCACTGACACAACATGACCACCACAGCTCCAGACATCACATTTGCCTCTGATGGCATCTTTGCTGGAAGCAAGCAAAACATGGTATGAAGGGGCTTCCCTTCAAGTGTCCCTTTCTTTCTTGGAAAAAATGTCTCTTTCTTTCTTGGAAAAATGTCTTTCCCAGAAAGTCCCAGCAAAATTCCTTTACATCTCATTGGTCATAATGGTGTTGTGTCCCTACTTTTAGACCAACCACTGACGATAGGGAATGGGCTTACATGATCTGATTAGACAAACATGACTTATTCCCTAGACATATTGCTGTCCCAACAAAGCTAGAATGCAGTTAGCAGTGATGAACGGGGAGACACTTACTGGGTAGAAGTATAGGCGTTTCCTCATCCACCAACACCTTAGGGGGGACTTTGAAATAAGATAGATCTGGGCCAGGTGTTCATGGTAGCAGAATGACTTGGAGTCATTCGTTTAGCCCAGTGGTTCCCAGCCTTGGCCATCGGCTGGAATCATCAGAGTCCTTTTACTAAATCCCAGTACCAATGCCACATCCCAGATCAATTAGATCGGAATCCTGGAGGGGGTGGGTGCAGACCAGGCATCCGGGATTTCCAATGCACAGCTAAGAATGGGCCCCACCCTTAACTTCTCTGATCTTTATTTTCCTTACTTGTAGAATGGATTCCATTAAGTTTACTGGGTGAGCAATGCTTCACAAGGAGTATGCTGGGAGCATTTTTATTTCAGTCTAGTATCCATCTGTGGTAGGCAGAATAATGGCCGTCCCCAAAGATGATATCCCAATTCCTAGAACCCATGAATAACTAAGGCTACACCGTAAAGTGGCATTAGGTCAAAGATGGAGTTACAGTTGCTAATCAGCTGACCTTAAGATAGAGAGTGTATCTGTGATTACCCACGTGGGTCCGATGAACACCAACATAATAACAATTACCAGGTGCATCCTCAAAATAGAGGAGAGAGGCAGGAGAGGGGACCAGAGAGATGGCAGTGTGAGAAGGACTTGGTCCATCGTTGCTGGTGCTGGAGATGGAGGAAGGGATTGAGTGGCCTCTAGGAGCTGGAAAAAGCAAAGAAATGTACTCTCCTCTAAACCTCTAAAAAGGAATGCATCCTCCAGACCCCTTGATTTTAGCTCACTGAGCTTTATGTTGGATTTCAGATCTATAGAACTGTGAGATAATAAATTTGTATTGTTTTAAGTCCCTAAATTTGTGATAATTTGTTCCAGCATCCACAGAAAACTAAAATATCATCATCCCGATTCAGAGGTATAGTTTATCCTGCCATTGGACCAAACCTCATTGTTTTCTTGATAATAAGTCCACTCCTGACCAATATCAAAACCCCAAATCCACCACCAGTAGCCCTGGAAGTGGGTCACTCACGTTCTTTTAGTTGGTTGGAGTGGGTGATGGTCTAACATTAGCGGAACCAGGTTGGGCCACCCCCTTTGTTGGCCCTGCACTATGGTCTAGTACCGGATGCCACCTGCTATTTGCTCTCAGCCTTTGAAAACTGAGCTAGAAAACATCCCATTTTAACATCCTGTTATAATAATAATGCCTACTTTGCAATTCTGCCCTGCTGATTAAGGGCGCTAATGTATGTGAACAAAAAACAGTGAAGTGGTATTCACAAGCCCTTATAGTTAACAGTCCATTCAAGGCATCCCACTACAAACCAGTCCACAAGAAAGCTATAGATGGGCGATCGGAGGGATCCAAAGGCCAGGTCGTCTGGGCCCCTGCCTGGAACAGCTCGTAAAAAAAAAAAAAAAAAAAAAAAAAGTGACCAAAGAGGCAACACTGTAGTTAGGCTGTTTGAGCTGAAGGGGGCCTGAGCCCATATCCTGATGAAGAAGTGAGAGTCAGAGAGAAGCTGTGCATCCCGGGCTCCCACAGCCAGCCCCTGTGAGGGCTGGTTTCAGAAGGGCGGCCCCAGGCTCCCACTCTAGCACTTTCTCCTGCACCACAGAGATTCCTCTGGAGGTCCTTGTCCATGCCCGGATGGGACGGGCCAGCCCAATGGGTGCCAGGGCAGCCATAAGACATCACAAACTCTTCTCCCCTCGGCCAAGATCGGGAAGGCCACAGGACACCCAGCGCCAAGGCCAGCATCACTGAGAGGTCAGGTGAACAGGGCAGCATCTCACACTGGGAACCTGAATGACCTTCAGGATTAGCTAAAATAGGAATCAAGAAAGGAAGTGAAGAAATTTGCTGTAAGCCCAGTCATTCGTCTGAATCAACTTCCTCTTGAGCTGGAAGCAGACCTGAAGGACAGAAGAAGGAGGCCAGTGACTTTCTCAAAGGGAAGTTTTAACATCAGCCTGCAAGGTCTTCACCCCCCAAGGCCCTACACAGAGGCAGCTGAGTGGCCAGAGCTACAGGTCCCCCATGGTTCCCTCTGGAGCTGGGAAGACAAGGACACCTGCTCCAGACTATCCAAGACCCTCAGGCAGTGCTTTCAAGACAGGAGTGAGCACATGAAAATCAAAGTTTTCTGTCTTTGGATTCAGAGAATCCAATCTTTTCAGAATGAATAGGTCTAGGGCAGGGTTCATTAATCTATATTTTCAAATACACAACACTTGTACCTAAGAAATTACCTACCAGGGTCGCCACCTGCCGTCATCCTCTCTGCAGTAGCCCCTTCTTTTCAGAGTTCCCATCTCTGTCTGGTCACCCCCATGACTCAGGACAGTGTGATTTTACCTGTTTCTGTGATTTATCAACTTTAAACCAGACCTGTTGATTCCCTGTTTGAGCCAGATAAGGGTTTTGCCCACTTAATCCCCCTCAGACTCTCCACACATATCTCCAAAAGCAGGATGACAATATAATTCTTATTTCCTCTTTTGGTTACTTTTGTAATTCTTTTTTTTTTTTTGAGAGAGTGTGGGGAGGGCCAGAGGGAGAGGGAGACCGAGAATCTAAAGCAGGCTCCATGCCTAGTGCAAGCCCGATGCAGGGCTCGAGCTCATGACCCTGAGATCACAACCTGAGCTGAAATCAAGAGTCAGAGGCTTGACCAGCTGAGCCACCTGGGCGTCCCTACTTTTATAATTCTTATTTATTTTTCTTATTCCATTAATGTCCCAACAATCCCTAGTGGCGACTTAAATGATGAGCCTGTTGGCATCCATAAACCTCCTCTTCTTTTCCTTTTTGTTTTTATTGCCCTTATCCCTGGGTTTCCATTGTCCTGCAAACTCATCTGAACCTTCCATGCTTTGTTCTATAGGGTAATTCTGATCCTTGAAAAACTGTTAACTTCACTTACCATATTAAGATTTATTTACATGTCACAGGCCGAGCAGTGTGCTAGGGTCACACTCTCTATTCTCTTGGTTCATGATGTAACCCCAGGCCACTTCCACAGCCATGCATCTAACCTCAAGATCAAAAAGATTCTCTTGTATGATACTTTACCGGTTGCTTAAGATCATGCTATGTTGTTTTTTTTTTTTTAAAGATTTTTATTTATTTATT